AGTTTCTGAAATACTCAGACCAACCCGTCTGGCAGCAACAACCATGTTCAATCACGTTCAAAGTCACTTAAATCACTTTTTTTTCCACATGATGTTCAGTTTAAACTTCAGCAGATTGTCTTGACTTTGTCTACATGCCTAAATGCATTGAGTTGCTGCCATATGTAACAAACAGTTGAACAGGTGTCCCTAAAAGGTGGACAGTGAATGTATATAGTATAAAGTTTATAGTGTAAATAACTATATAATTACTAAATGCAGTTGGATAAGAGAGCAGCTGACAGGTGATCAAGTCCATTTCATTTGTTCAGAGTCACACTGTGATCACCCGTGATGTGACAAAGACACACACCAAGTAGACGCGTTCTGGCAAGCAATCACTAAAGCTAATTCAATGTTATGCAACGGTGAATGGAAATCTGTCTTCGTGATAAGGGCTCTGACATCCGCTGTCACCGCAAAGATACGGAAACTATTTTTCTGCTTTTGTTTAGTGACAGCCACATTTGAGTCATCACATTGAGGGCCATATTTAAATCTCGTCTGTCGTGAAAAAAAAAAAAAAAAAAGTTTTATTGCAGCTAGTTCAGTATCTTTGAAAGACCCATTATAAGATTTCACAGTCGCACAGCCCCGGTCCTATTTGCCATCGTTGCAGTTTGTCAAACATAAAATGTTAATTGGATTGCTAAGTGAGAAATATCGCATCCAATAGAATCCACCTCCAGTCAAAATATTGGGAAAAAGCAATATTTCAAATGAGATTTTAATTTGGATAATCTTTTGAACTTTAATAGAGCCCGAGCCAGTGGGCATATTGAGATTACCACATCATTATTAAACAAAAGTGACACAAAACCATCAATTCTCAGTCCGTGACAGATAAACGCTTTCCACTGCACAAATAATATTAGTTCTGCCTACTGACGCCAGCTCTTATCTGCCTCTGGTTTATTGGGTTCACACTGCTGTCAGGTGCTGAGAGATTTGACAGAAATGTTTGCATATATGAATAGCGGCACACACATATATATGTTGGCAGATTCTTGGAGGAAGCCTGAAGGCACGGTGAATGAGACTAGTCCATATCGGCGGTTTAATGAAATTCTTCCTGCTCATCAAACACGGGCAGAGAGTGATTATACATGGAGAGGGACAGACAGACGAGATGAAACGTATGCTTTCCAAATATCACCCTCCATATTCCACATCATTATCATATTAATGCCCGCCATAAGGATGGACATGTCGCGGGGTCGGACTGATACTATACAAACGTTTGTGGATTCAGATGTAGACGCAGTCATTTCTTCAAACGGTCTTTGATACCATCATATTGTAGGCTTGTACGATTATATGTAACCTTTAGATTCAGGATTGGGTGACTTTTTCCCAGAGTCTTATAGGATATTCGACAGTTTGGAAATCGTCCCCTTGGAATTATAAGGTTCTATCTGCATTCTGAGCAGTTTTGAGATATTGAACTTTAAAGTTTTTGCATTCCATTTGACTGTGTAGAAAGAACCTTTTTATTTTCTAAATAAAAAGTTCCAAAATGTACACAACTTAAAAAACAACATCACATAATGTAAAGAAGTGGTCACAGAATAAGAATATGTGAATAACTAAATTTTGACAAACATGTCAGATAGAACCTTATCATTCCAAGGGGACGAAATCTGAATTTCCAGAAAATGGAACACACAAGTTCACATTGAACTAATTTCATAATTGATGAACATTACACGCTTACTTAACCGAAGCAAATCAACACTGAACTGACTTGAGCTAAATAAATAACACTATTGTGTGTAGAGCCGCTTTACAGCAGAATTAATATTTGAAGCAGCTTATGTTTTTTTACAGCGAAGCTGCTTTGAAACACCTTGTGTTGTGTAAAGCACTATAAATAAAGGTGACTTGACATTTTGTACATTTTAAATGTAAATGTGTATCATTTATATCAGTGATTACGCCGTGGTCTTGCAGTTGATCACATTGTGCATACATATCAATAACACATCTGTTTTACAGAATGATCATTCATTCAGATCTTTACAAGACTGAAATATTTTCCATGAATTTAGTGCCAATGCTCTGAATAGTCCTATGTCAATCCACAGATATTACAACAGTGAGCTGAATAAGCAAATGACCTTTCAGAATTCACATTCGACTAGCTCACACATTCTGTCAGACCATACTAATGTGACTCTGCTCCGTCCATTCATGTAAAAGGAAAGCGAAGAACAAAGAATTACACTGAGGGAGAATTTCAAGGGCACTTTGGTTAATTCAGATGACCAGGTTGCATAGCAACTTCATCCATTCAGTCCATCTGTGTGTCAAATCCTGCTTTCCGTGAGCCGTTTCAGATGATGTCATTATCTATTAACAGCTTGGACACAGGTGGCAAAATGCTCCACTTTCAAGAACTCAAGAAGCAATTCTTAGTCTATTTTTACAACAGGGATGATGTAATGCTTTTTCTTGCGGTCTTTCCAGATGATTTGGGGCGTTTTGTTAATGTTATAGCGCCTCCCTGTGGTGCAGCGAAACATTCCTTTATGTAAGTTTCTCTAACAAATGACATCATGTGTTTACATCGTATGCTTAGGTGACAGATCAGAGAGGAGAGGAGTGGAAGAAAAAGGTGGGTGAGGGAAGAAAAAATAGAGCGAGAGGAAGAACAGAGAAAGGAAATGGGAGAAAATGTGCACGACTATACGTGTGAAAGTGAATGAAAACAGTGAATCATGTTCAAGAATAATGAAGAAACAATTGTATCAGCAAGGTTAAATATTCTATGCTTATGGCATTCTATTATAAACCCTTATAAGCTATTCATTTTTAATGTACACTCAGGGTGTTGGGGTCTCCAGAGACCCCAGGCAATAAAATGTGTTTTTGTAACATGTAATAACATAGGCCTACTTTTTTATTCTTTCTTTTTTTAAACACGTAATATCACTCACTTTATGTTTTGACTCTACATTTGTGCAGTGTTGGGAAGATTTAAGGTGTCTACATTTAAAAAAAAAGTATAATAATCCTGAGCAGTTTCATGCCAACATACAACCAGATATCATTCCTATTTATTTATTTATAGTGCTAGAAATTGTCAACCACGACATCAAGTGCCAATCAGATGAAAGGATATTTTAAATGTATTATTATTATTTTATTTCAGCAAACGTCATTTGGGGTCAAAATACCACAAACAGCTTATAAGCATTAAAAATAAAAAAAACTACCTTTCACAAAGAAAATAATTTAAATAAATAATTAAACGTGGTATTACCCTGAATGATACCATTTCAAATGTATTGATTTATTTTTTATATATAAAAAATAAATCATACGCTCGGGCTCAGTAACTCTATGGCGTCAAATCCAAGGAGGGGCTTCCAAAAGCAACATTGTCTCATCCTCCAAAGTCAAAAGCTGAAACATTCTCTAACTACTATCATCACAAAGAAACCCAGCGCAATGTCCTAAAATGATTCGAATTCACTCTCTTGAATATTGCGCCCCTTTGTGGTGAAGTCCTACACTGCTAATAAATAAACTCCACTGGAATTTCGTTCTTCTTTTTTTTTGGAGCCGTCAATGCCTGAGTAGTTGGGTCGTTTGTTGCATAATAATCTTTAATTTTAAAAGGTCAGTAATAAAAAAAGTACATTTATTTTACCCATAAAGCAGTGAACAACCATTGAAGTCATTGAAGAAAAAAATGTATTATTCATATAAAAGAAAGAAAAAAAATGTAGATGACTTAACCAGAAAATCATTTTGTGATTTTAAACAGGACAGGCTACCAGTAATATGGTGTTCTTAAACACGCATTCGTCTTAAAGTGTCTCTGAACAAACGACACACGCCAGTTTAACAGAAAGAATAAAGGCATGAATAGTTGGCTACTTGTTTTTGTCCATTGTAGGCTACTTTGAATTTTCGGTCAACATCATTGTCTTCTGTGCATCAGAAAACAAATCTGATCTAACGTACGGCTGTATTAATGTCCTTATTTGCATATTTCATTTGAAGAAGGCGTGATTATCTGCGAATACACGGTACTGGTTCATGTTCACTAGATTAAATATGTGAATAAAAACTTGAAACGCACTTACCGGAATTTCGACCCCCTGCCAAATTATTACCCCCCTCGTTGAAGTCAGTACCTGATTGCCTAATCTCAACCCCGCCCCTAATCCTAACCCCTCCCCCACAACTAATCCTAAACCTACCAATGCTAGGGGGGTAATAATTTGGCGGGGGTCGAAATTCGGCACAACACCGGCAGTGGAAGCCAATCACCACTTCGAATTAACGCATATACCACACTTTCGTCATTTTTAGTTAAACTTTGCTTTTTAGACCGAAATAACAAAATAGCTCAGAGAGAGAGAGAGAGAAACTTTTCCTTTAATAATAAATATAAGTTTTAAAACAAAAATAAATAAATAAATAAATAAAGAGGGGGGGGGGGGGGGGGGGGGGGTGGAGGTGAAAAAAATAAAAAAATAAAATAAAAAAATAAATAAATATAAGTGCTATTGTTGTTTTTCATGTCCATATCTGTAAACATATAAAAAAATATGTTTTAGGGTTTCATTACCATTTCATGTAATAGTGTGAATTTGTTTTTAGTAATAACATCAGACATATTTGAGTTACTTAATCGGATTTATTAATGAAGGAATTCCTTTTGTCTAAAAAACAAACCCGAGACATTTACAGGTTCACTCAAATTTTCTTTTTACCAATATATTTGTGAAGCACATGGTGGTGTGTTTTGTAATATTGCACCTCAACACCCTGAAAGACATCAGCCGAGACTTGTTTGGTTTTCTGCATATATTAAAACCACACGCTCATTTTATAAAGAAAACAATACTTTATATAGAAAATCTGTAATAATCTCTCAAAAAAGAAAAAAGGAAAGAAAAAAATGCAAGGCATTCAAATGTAGTCAGTTTGGTTTCCATTCGTAAGACCGTCTTGAAGATTTTGAACAGATCTCTTGAAAAAAAAAAAAATCCCTGGGGTAATGTACCCAGATGCAAATTCCGATTCAACTTCAAGATAGCGTCTGTCATCACCTCTCCTGCACACAGAAGTACACACATGCACACAAAAATACCCTTCCACACTGAGGGTGACAGGCTGTGATAGTAAAAGCTGCTTTTAGTCCTGTTTCTTGCTGTGTGCAGCACTGTGAGTGTTTGGATCTCGAGGGCTGAAGTCAGCACAGAAGCCGTTAGTTGAAGGCCGAGACTCTGAGGGTGAAGTGGATTCTCTGGAGTGTTGAGGGATTGGCTCAAGGAGACAGTGGTACTGCTCCACAAAATCAGGACAATTCTCCATAAACCGGCAAAAATCATCTGCCACAAAACATAGCATGTTTACAAGGTAATACATACCAAATATAATATATGAGACAAATTTAATTAATTCAATTTGATGAAAAAACATAATAATCGGGTCTCCATTTCATACATTATTTTTTCAAGAAAAAAGGGCAAAATTTTAGCGAATTAGTGAACTTCAAAACTTAAAAAATAACTTATTTAATATTACATTGAAAGGTAATATATTTTAGATATATATTTACTAAATTGCAACTTTATCATTACAAATGTGTAATTAGAAGCAATTATGAAATTACATGTAAAGATGTTCTTGGGTCCTTTTTAGTGATCCCCTCTAAAGTTCAATATAAAGTGCATTTAATAATATATATTTAAACTATAATATATTTTCATTGAATTGTAATTAACATGCATTTCAGTGTCCAAAACATTAAAAATATATACTGTGAACTGAACAGTATATTATTTCTGTAATAAGTAACCTTGTTAAATATAGATTTTTTTTCCATCAATGCAAACATCACTAGAGCCACATCGACTTCAATCTAACTGAATGCCAATAGATTAAATCAAATTCCAGGCTACAGTAATTCTCACTCAATAATATTTTACTCAAAATTGAAGTGTAAATGTCATTTCATGTTGTCTTTAACAGAAAATGTAATTCTATTAAATATAACTTTGTAATTATAAGGAAACAATAAGCCCCTTTTTTTCTTAGAATTTTCAGCCAATTAAAATCAAGGACCAGAGAACTATTCATTTGATCATTTTGCTCACTGTGACCCCAAACAATGATGAAGTGAAGCCGATCTCAACGGAACACAAGGATTGAAGTAGCAAAGAAGTTTTAATTTCCTAATGTTGAGAATTTTGTGTTTATAATAAAGCAAGCACAAACACCTAAGCAATCAGACAATAACATTCAACATGTAAATTAAAGTAAAGGGTCCTACCAAATGTGATCTTCCCTTTGTCTTGGCAATCTATGGCCCTGAAGAGATCGCAAACGGCAAAATCTCCAATGCCTAGAGCCGTTTTCAAAATGATGGCCAGCTCATCTTCTACAACTGCTCCATCCTCCTGTGCTTCAAACATCTGGACACAAGGAAAAGTTCAAATGTTAAATGTCTCGCTTACAAATACATATTAATAACTATAATCTATTAAGCAGAATATATTATACTGCACATTTAATGTGTGAGATCTTGTCTATTTGAAACAACGAGAGATTTCAGAAAGTCAACTCACCCCAAAGGCCAGTTTAATGGTCTCCAGATATCTGAAAGGTCTACAAACCACTGACAGGGCGATGACATACTCTCTCACATCCATCTTCCCATGCTGGAAATAATTCATTCAAATGTCATCACAGTCTGACAGACATCATGTAAATGCATAACTGATTACAACTGATCTGTTTGAAATGCAAGTTCATTTGCTTTCCATACAGTCACTCTCTAATAAAGAACATTTGATAAATGTTTAACCTCCTCAAAAAGAGAGAAGATGTCCTGGACTGCTTCTGTCATGGATTTATTCAGGTACTGAGCAAATCCCTCCAGATCCAGCCTGCTTCCACACATCTTAAGGGCCCTGGAGGCTTCTTCATGCAGGACTTCATCAGTGACCCTCGTCTTCAGTCTAAGAGAGAGGACAAAAAAATCATTCATTATTAACTTTTTTATTAGTAGTATTATAAACCAAATGTGCCACTGGCTGGTGAACTGAGAAAATGTAAGACTAGTTAAAATATTCAATTGTTTCAACCTAGAAAATCTTACATACTACTACTACGTCCTTTTTTTAATCCTTGTGTTGTCTAATGAACCGCAACGATACAATTATATATATCTTTAAAAGTATTGAGTACACTTGCATTTCTAACAAGTCACTTTTTGGTTAAAAAAAAAAAAAAAGAGAAATATTTCTCTAGAAACTCAGTGAATTGTTATTTTGAGAGATGAAGGTTGTTCCATGAACTACTGTCTTAAAAGAAGAAAGCAAAATGGATCTAACCAGCACAGGGAGAGAAGTGGACGACCCAGAATAACAAGAGGACAAGAACATCAGGGTCTCTAGTTTGAGAAACAGACCCCTTACTGGTGCTCAGCTGGCGGCTACATTGAACTGTACACACTAAACAGCTTTTCATCACTAACCGTGGAGAGAAGACTCTGAGATACTGGGCTTTTAAGAGTTTCAAAGAAACAGTCACATCTGACACTGGCAGAAAAAAAAAAAGAAGAAAAGGGAGAGGATGGGCAAAGGAACAAAGACTGAATGGTAAAAGTTTGCAAAAAGAGTATTCTAGATGAATGAATCCAAGTTTGAAGCTTTGAGTTATAGTGGGAACAGTTTGAAGAAGCATCCTACAGGCCAATAACACCTACGGGAAGCACAGCAGAATGCATGAGTTTAAACTTCAGTTGAACCTCTTAATAAACTGACTGCATATGGTCTATGTGGAGGATTCTTCTGAGTTTGAAGAAAAACATTTTTGGGAAATGTAATGTGTAATACGTATTAATTATTTTTTATTTTTTTATATATTCTATTTATCAAAATGGAAACAAAAGACATTTATGTTACAAATGTTTTCCATTTCAAATAAATTATATATTTTTGAACTTTACACTCAAAGAATTCAGAAAAAAAAATGTATCATGGTTGTAAATCAGAAAAAATATTAAGCAGCACAACTGTTTTCAAACATTGATATTGATTTGTTTTTGCAAAATGACCATGTGACACTGAAGACTGAAATAATGGCTGCTAAAAAATTCATCAATTTAAAAAATAAAATGTTAAATATATTATAATAGAAACAGTCATTTTAAAATGTAATAATATCCACAATATTACTGTATTTATGATCAAATAAATGCAGCCTTGGTAAGCATAAGAGACTTCCTTCAAAAAAGTAAGAAGGAATCTTACCAAAATCAAACCATTTTGATAGCCTAAGACTTGCCGCTCAGGATTTCACCCGTCCATTCAAATTAGAAGTGGACGCTAGTGCTTTAGGCACTGGGGCCGTAACCCTCCAAGAGGACGATACTGGTCTAGTTAATCCCATTTGCTAATTTTCTCGAGTTTAAGTTTAACAAACATCAGATCAATTATTCTAGAGTAGAGAAAGAAGCTTGAGACGAGGACTTCTTTTAACGTTGCAATTCTTTGAGATTTACATTGGTTCATCAGTACTGCCTGTGACTGTATATACCGACCATAAACCTTTGTTATTTTTTGTCAAGAATGTACAGTACTGTAAATGTCTTTATTGTAATTGAACGCATCCTAGGTGAATAAGTGTATCAATTTCTTAAAAATAACATTTCAAAAGTGATTCCAAACTTTAAAAAGTAGTGTATGTCTCTGGTTTTATTTGCTTACTTCACTTATTATTATTATGATTATGATGATGTAGTAGTAGTAGTAGTAGTAGTAGTAGTATAAGATACATAATTAGACTGAATTACTGGCAATTTACCGTTTTATTTACTTGCCAAAGCCAATTTTTATTCACCTTTGATGCTCAAAGAATGTTATAGTTTGACCCTTATTACAGCAAGCCATGTTTGTTGATTGTGTTTCCTCATCATATTCACTAGAGGGCAGCATGTTCACTGCCAGATGATAAGCACCAGTACAAACCAGCCCACTGCTGTACCACTAGTGTAAAATCAATCATCAGGCTCTAATCCGAAGCAAACAACGCCCATGTTAACTTCTCATTATGAGAGCAGTGCTGGCAGGCAAAGAGCTATGTTTGATTTTTTCATCAATCAGCACAGCGCTGCTCATACTATTGAACGTAATGATCATTTATGGTGTGGCTCTACTGAACAACCATAGATCAATACTATGATATGTAGAGGTGGATGAACGTGCTAATGGATTGATTGGCTGGATGGTTGATTCAACCAATGACCAAACCCAGCACCTTGTCCTTGAGACTATCCTTCACTGTTATAACCTACTTAACTAAAACATAAGCACTGATTCTTTCAACCTACAAATTGAGAGATCAAGTATATTACATAAAAAAATAAAAAAAATAAAAATAATAATAATAAGTTTGCTGGTCTGCTAGACACACCTACAGACCACCCAAAGTCCATGTTCGTTCAGAGATCATCTAGTGCACACTGCACAAAAAAAAAAAGAGCTTTTACAAGCTATAATCTGACAGACCCCCTTTAAGCAACTTCCAGGAACCACAGGAAAACTTTTGACGGACTCTCTTCCGGTAATTCTCATTGAAGCCTTGTCTGATTGGTCGCTGCTTAGTAACTCACCAACTCAGGACATCCTCATGATAATAACAGATGAAAAGTAATGGTATCAAAGTTATGTTTACAAGATACTGGGTTGCTACTTGCTAGCATTGCATATTATTGTTTGCGTTTAGATTCATATTTTTTACATGGAGAAAAATACCTAATATAAATTCCTTAACATTACATGTACAGTAATAGATGAAAAACTCATCAGCAAATGTGGAAATAGTCTGAATTACACTAACCTGCTGATCAAAAATACAGTAAAAACTGAAATATTGTGAAGTATTATTACAATTTAAAATAACAGTTTTCTATTGTAATATATTGATGACAAAGCTGAATTTTCAGCATCATTACTCCAGTCTTCAGTGTCACATGATCCTTCAGAAAACATTCTAATATGCTGATTTGCTGCACATTTCTTCTTATTATTATTATTAAATTCATAATATCAATGTTAAAAACAGTTGTGCTGCTTAATATTTTTGTGGAAACCATGATACATTTTTTTCAGGATTATTTGATGAATAGATAATAAAAAAGAGCATCATTTATTTTAAAGAGAAATCTTTTGATCAATTTAAAGCATTCTTGCTGAATAAAAGTATTAATTTCTTTAAAAAAAACAATCAAAAAACCTATGAACGGTAGTGTATGCCACCGTACATTGTCCTAGACATCATGCGGTGGTGTTCAAACTTAAAACTACTGATCTACTCACCCCAAACTTCGTACCAGTCTGGCTAACTCCAGCAAGCAGGTGTGTCTGGGCAAACGCAAAGGGCCTTTGGCCATAGCAAGCTGGCAGTCCTCAAAGGAGTAATCGATAATGGGCAATCCAAGTGCCCTATGGAGAAAACACATAGAATGAACACAAGTATGATTTATTACTGATTTCAGGACACTAGGGCCTTTTAGAATGTTTTGAGATATAAAGGCCTGGTTTCACAATCAGGGCTTAGATTAAGCCAGGATTAGACCTTAGTTCAATTAGGACATTTAAGTAGCTTTTATAAACATGCCTTAGAAAAAACATTACTGTGTGCATCTTGAGACAAAACAATGGCAATGACATTTTAAGATATGTCAGTACACGTTGCTTTCAGTTAAAACAGCTCAATCATGCACTTTAATCTGGGACTAGCCTTAAGCCTCAGATCTTCATTCCGATAACGAACAAGACTCCGGCATGCTAACTAGTTACACGGCCCGAGCGGTCGGCGTCCAACTTCTTAGAGGGACAAGTGGCGTTCAGCCACGCGAGATGGAGCAATAACAGGTCTGTGATGCCCTTAGATGTCCGGGGCTGCACGCGCGCCACAATGGGCGGTCAGCCGAGAGGGATCGGGCTCGTGATCGGGACTGGGGATTGAAACTGTTTCCCAATAATGAGGAATTCCCAGTAAGCGCGGGTCATAAGCTCGCGTTGATTAAGACCCTGCCCTTTGTACACACCGCCCGTCGCTACTACCGATATGGTGGTTTAGTGAGGTCCTTGGATCGGCCCTGCCGGAGCTCCTCGCTGGGTTCTGGCGGAGCATCGAGAAGACGATCAAACTTGACCATCTAGAGATAGTAAAAGTCGTAACAAGGCGGGTCAATTTTGCATCCCAATTTAAGATGATAAATAATTAATTGAGTTGTCAATACAATATGATAACCGAAAAACAAATGACAACTACAAATCAATGTTTCGCTGCCTCGAGTCCAGTTGTTTCTGTGAATTGCAGCGATCCATTTGCTTCTCTTTTCTGTGGCTTTTGGCAGTCTGTAAAAATATACCTCAGATTTCTTGTCAAATCTATTTATACAGTCAATCTCAAAGCTCTTTCCCATTTTAGATGTGTTTTTCGCTACATTCATGCTGAAAACCAATGCTGCAACTAAGTCTTTTTGCCACTCAGTGGGCGTAACTGTGCGTAACAGTAACGTCAAGTGCATACCCTATATAAAGTGAGAATAAAATCTTTGTCATGATAAGTTTGTTAGGCCTTTTTAAAATTCACTCACTTGGCCATGATTCGTCTCACATTGCTGGCAAACAGGGCTGGATCCTCCTTCTCTTCTTCTGATGGGGTATATGTAGGAAGATACTGGACAGAAAAAAAATATATATATTATCATATATATATATATATATATATATGTATAAATATATATTTTGATGGTCCCATTTAGATATTCTGTTGAATATACATAACGTTGCACCTACATGTCAAAAAACTCTCATTGGAGTATTAATAGGCCATCACAATAAAGTGTTAGCATATATATATATATATATATACACATACTCACCTAAAGGATTATTAGGAACACCATACTAATACTGTGTTTGACCCCCTTTCGCCTTCAGAACTGCCTTAATTCTACATGGCATTGATTCAACAAGGTGGTGCTGAAAGCATTCTTTAGAAATGTTGGCCCATATTGATAGGATAGCATCTTGCAGTTGATGGAGATTTGTGGGATGCACATCCAGGGCACGAAGCTCCTGTTCCACCACATCCCAAAGATGCTCTATTGGGTTGAGATCTGGTGACGGTGGGGGCCATTTTAGTACAGTGAACTCATTGTCATGTTCAAGAAACCAATTTGAAATGATTCGAGCTTTGTGACATGGTGCATTATCCTGCTGGAAGTGGCCATCAGAGGATGGGTACATGGTGGCCATAAAGGGATGGACATGGTCAGAAACAATGCTCAGGTAGGCCGTGGCATTTAAACAATGCCCAATTGGCACTAAGGGGCCTAAAGTGTGCCAAGAAAACATCCCCCACACCATTACACCACCACCACCAGCCTGCACAGTGGTAACAAGGCATGATGGATCCATGTTCTCATTCTGTTTACGCCAAATTCTGACTCTACCATCTGAATGTCTCAACAGAAATCGAGACTCATCAGACCAGGCAACATTTTTCCAGTCTTCAACTGTCCAATTTTGGTGAGCTCTTGCAAATTGTAGCCTCTTTTTCCTATTTGTAGAGGAGATGAGTGGTACCCGGTGGGGTCTTCTGCTGTTGTAGCCCATCCGCCTCAAGGTTGTGCGTGCTGTGGCTTCACAAATGCTTTGCTGCATACCTCGGTTGTAACGAGTGGTTATTTCAGTCAAAGTTGCTCTTCTATCAGCTTGAATCAGTCGGCCCATTCTCCTCTGACCTCTAGCATCAACAAGGCATTTTCGGCCACAGGACTGCCGCATACTGGATGTTTTTCCCTTTTCACACCATTCTTTGTAAACCCTAGAAATGGTTGTGCGTGAAAATCCCAGTAACTGAGCAGATTGTGAAATACTCAGACCGGCCCGTCTTGCACCAACAACCATGCCACGCTCAAAATTGCTTAAATCACCTTTCTTTCCCATTCTGACATTCAGTTTGGAGTTCAGGAGATTATTATGACCAGGACCACATCCCTAAATGCATTGTTGTGCCATGTGTTGTGAAGCAACTGCCATGTGATTGGTTGATTAGATAATTGCATTAATGAGAAATTGAACAGGTGTTCCTAATAATCCTTTAGGTGAGTGTATGCTATGTATGAAATGAAAATTAGAAATGTTGAATTGACAACTAACTGAAATAAATACATTAAAAAAATTTTTTACAAAAGAAGTTTAAGTACTAAAATTACTGATTAAAACTGAAAAAAAAACTTGAATTGAAAAGATAAAATTACTACAACTTAAGCTGAAAATATAAAAGCTAAAACTCAAAACATTATTTTAGTAAATAAATAATACTAACATAACACTGGCATTTACACCAAAATGTGAGTTCTCACCTCTATTTCTATGAAGTTATGTAGCTGACATAATGTGAGCCATAAAATCTTAAACCTGAAAAAGATAATGACATTTAATTTTAACTCACCAATATATACAAGCACATAAAACTTGACCATTACTCTACATCCAGATGAATCTCTAAAGATGGTTTTCCCTTGTAATGTCTTTTCCATAAAGCAATACCGTCATTATAATAGACTAAGAGAAAGGATAAGGGTATAGCTTATCCAAAAACAATTTTTTTTTTTCTAATTATGCATGTTGTTTATTCACCCTCATGTAATTCCAAACCTGTTTGCATTTCTTTATTCTGTGGGACATAAAAAGAGAAACTTTGAGAGAACCCACTGATTTCCATTGTATAGAAAAAAAAAAAAAACATTCTTCAATTATCTTTTTTTGTATTCAGAAGAAAGAAACTAAGACAGGTTTGGAGCGACATGAGGGTAAGGAAATGACAGAATTTTAATTTTTGGGTGAACTGTCCCTTTAAAGGAATTCAAGAGACTCACGCTCCAGGCCCTTGCCACGTCCATGAGATTGTATCCTGTCAAGGAAGTGAGAAGAGAAAGATGTAAATGAATGGGATTATCATCTCAAACAAAAACATGTGTCCCTGACAGTATCCACCTAAGCAAGTAACTAGCCTGCACACACACACACACTCAAACGTGACCCAACCACTTGAACTTGCTCCTCTGACAGCACAACCTAGACTCTAAGGGCCCCGTACTTAAATTCCAGTAGCGATAAATGCTAAGAGAAGAGCCAAGTTTTCCAGGGAGTCTAAATGAAACCTGATTGCTGGCTGGTATTATTTATGAGAAGGAGACAAAGACTTTACAGACGGACAGACAAAAAGAGAAAGGTTTCAACAGTGGAACAAAACAAAAGAAAAAGACTATAGCTTATTTGATTGGGCTGTGAAAATTAAATTTAAAGTCTTCATAACTGAAGACACATAATCCACAGCTCCAGAGAGTAAATATGTGGATCAGTGACAATAATGGCACACCCTGTTTGGGCGTGGAACTTGAGGTTATTCTTACCATCTCATTAGGATATCGCAACAGCACAGGCTGTACAGGAACGCCAGGGATGAACGCACCTGCAGAAAGGGAGGGACAAAAGGACGGTAAACGAGTGGGAATCAGAGAGATCCTGTGCTGCTTTCACCTCGTTTCACTCCAATGCATGGGTGTGGCATTAAAACTATAGCCTGTCCCATTTGAAACATGAACCTTCTGTGTGACTGAGTGTGTGAACTTAAGTATCCAAATCCACTGACCTCATCCAGCTTTATTTTTAATATTCAGATATCACTGCAAACCAATTACTTGCTAACATTCAAGCTTTGCAAGATGGTACGTATTATAATGAATAATAATAAATCATTTAGAGGATTAACTGTTTTCATCAATAGACAATCATAATTTTATGAGCTGAACATTCACTCATTACATCTTTACACTTAAAGGTGTCTTTTAGTGAAGTGGGTTGCTTATTTGGTCACATTTTAATTTTTATATTATAATAGTCTTTTTTTCTAGCACTTCTCAAAAAAGAGCAAAAAAAAACTTCCCATTTTTGCTAAATATCCTCTTTTGTGTTTCACTTTTAAAAAATAACAAAGTTAATTGTTTTAAGCGACATACATGTAGTCGTATCTAGTCTTGTCTTCTCTACATTTTGAGCATCAGTCTGTGCCAGTCAAATCTCATCACTTCTGGGAAGGTTTAGAGAGATGAGAGATGCCCTTCAGCTTACAAGCAGCTTCTTATTACATGTTGTTAATAGAAACTGACCAACCCTCCACAGAGACTGAACTCACTCACCTTTGACAAACTCAACGCAACTCTTATACAGAGCAGGTCAATGCAAATATACAAAAAAAAAAACATCATTCATTTGCATCTTTCCTCATAGAGATGTTCTGTGCTGGTATTTGACTAAAGCTTGGTTTATACTTGAAGCATCCACATGTGCAAAAATGTGCCTGTAATTTTTAGGCAGAGCAGAACTACTGTAAATAAATGTCAAAAGCACCATTTTTTTTTTGCATACAGTTGCAGCTTCTCTGTTTTTCAATACAATAAAATGTAATGACTTTATATTTAATAATCCAGGTTTTTGAACAGTTTGGTAGTTTTATACAGAGCAAAAATTAACTCATTCACACAAAAGATTTATTCTATCTAACAGAGAACACTGCTCTAGACCTACCTAAAACACATCGATCAATGTCCAGATATAACAGCCGCAAAAGTCTACATCACATTTTGAAATATTAACATAATGCCCACCCAAAGAAAGAAGGCGAGGCTTTAGAGAATTGTAGTATAGTTGCCATGTCGTGGCATTCCAATGTAGGTTCCGAACGATCTGCTTGATCATCCGCATTTTCAGAATCTGACTCTGGTTCAAACTGATATGGTAAAGCCTACGACATATTTAACTGGTTGTGTTTACAATGACTTTAGAAGCCTTGGAAGCTGAAACTCGTGATTATAGTAAGGGGTGTTACATATACGATACACACTTGAGGTGTTTGGCCAATCTCAACGCAGTGGGTCATCTGGCCAAACAGAGTGCCCTTGGCTTTTCGGAAAGATGGTCTTTGTAAAAAAAAACGGAAATCAATCACTCAGACTGGGAATAGAGGTGCTGCAATGTACAGTAAGTGTAAAATGTTTTTTTTTTTTCAGTTTTTTTCCTGAAGAAGAATTAAAAGTATTAATGCGGACTATGATGCCCTTCGAGTCATCAAAATACCAATGGAAGACTGAAAATGGAATGCAATTTTGACATCATATGCTTAAGAAATTGATAACCACACTATAAACATTTCTGTACATCATCAAAAAGCACCAGAACTCACTGCACACATGCAAACTCAGATTCTGGCCTTGTTTTTGTTTTGGAGAGCTATCTGGCTGCAGACCAGCAGAGCTGATGTTGTCTGGTACACTGAAAGCTCCAGTATTAAAGGTTGTAGAGAGAAAAGTGAGATAGCCAGACAAGAGAAAATAAGCAAGGGATAGGGAGAGGAGGAGTGGGGATTAGAGGAATAGAACCGATACAATGACTAACAGAAGAGAGGGATTTGAGAAGAAAAGACCATCAGACTCAACAGCGCACACAGGAAGTGGAAGCCAAGCACCAGATCTCTCAGCGCTGTGAACCATGATGGGCTGCAGATTAGAGAGGGTACAAAGAGACACCAAACACCAAAGCACACATATATCCATTAAAGATAGCTAAATATCAGCAAATTATCTTCAACAAACACTCTTAACGTTTCTATCACAAAGACTCAAAAACAAAAAACACAATCACTCATTCCAGGCATGAAAATAGTGTTTAGTTGGCAGATATTAGAGCTGGGCACAGACAGCGTACTACACATACCAGGCTTAAATGCGATGAGACAGGATCTATTGGTGCATGTGCCCTCCGGGAAAATCATGATCTGGAAACAGGCCACAGTCAGAGGAGAAATACCTCAGTACTGCTCTAACTCACAAAATCATGATACATAGTGGCCCAAAAATGTGTTTGGACACTTAAACTGTACGAACGTCATTACGTTAGATGCAAAATATCAGATGTCTATGTGTGTTTGTGTGGTACCTGAGGCCATTTGCCATCAGAACAAGCTCGGCGTTTGATCTCCTCGACGGTCTTCCTCCGAGAGTCCTGATCAGAGCGTGACACAAACACAGGCCGAATGAACTTGATAAGAGCTAAAAATGGAGAAAGAGTGGAGGGTGGGGCAAATGAGAGAATAGAGGGTCACAGAGAGAGAGCAATAAAAGATTATATATTTTTTTAAGTGACAAAAGGGAGACCTAAAAAGTAGGCAAGTCAAATCTTGCAAAATGCTAAGAGTATAAATTGAGATTTCCTATAAACAATAATTAATAGGCCCCATGCACAAACAAATGCCAGATAGTTTTCTTAACTATCTTTCCTTCCAAAAACATTTCTGTTTTTGAAGTGTTTTTTAGATTAACAAAAATCTTTCTGACCACAAACTTTTTGAACAGTAGACTAGAGTAGCGCTTAACATAAAGAGGGAAAAAAATCTCTTATCACATCTCATTTACATTTTAATTTATCAGACGCTTTTTGTCTAAAGCAACATGCAAATGACAACTTCCAAACTACTGTTGTACCCAACTGAACAAAAGAGCAACAATATCTAAGTGCTGTGACAAGTCCCAGTTAGTCAAGCACAGTGGACATCTCAATTTATCAGATGCAAAAGCTTTAAGGTGAACTAAACAAACCCAAGAGTTTAAATATTTGTCTCTTAATATTTTTTTAAAAACTTACTGCCCCAGACTGGAATGTCTTTACTCTCTGCCTTCATCACTATTGATGCCATCGTCATGGTGACAGGGATGGCGTCAAAATAGGATGAGTGAGGGGCCATCGTGAGGATGGATGCTTCACTGGGCAGAGCCGGCCGTCCCTTTACACGGACCCAGTGAAACCCTCCGGAAAACCACATGGCTCTCATGATGGCCTTTAAGGCCAGATCTACAAGCCTGGAGAGAGAGAAACAAACGAAAGAGAAGACAGAGACAGGGTTAGTAGGATAATATCATCTGTTTCCTGACATTGTGGGGCAATTCAATTGCCTTCACATCCAACTGACTGTAGTACACCTCATTTAGCAGTCTACATGAAACTGCATTGCAAACTATTGTACTTCAATAATGTGATGCATTTCTTAATTGAATTGGATAATCAATTACAAAAAAACTGTAAAAGAGCGTATTACTGTACTTTATAATGTAATAATGCGCAGGAACATGTATAAAGAAAGGCCTATTTAGGATTCATGTTTTACTGTGGTTTTTGTTTTCACAGGGTAGGTTGATATTTTAACTATTGGGATGTCTTTAGAGGCGGCTGAAAATTCAGTTTTGGACTAGTTAAGCCTTAGCTTTCTACATAGACTTCAAGCTAAATATTATCAGCCCTAGAATATCTGTTTTAAACACCGCCGGCTCATGAACACACTGAAACACTCTCGCGCACACATGCACACCCTCTCAAACATGCACAGTAGCGAAATACGTAGTTGCGTGACCTGTGCCTTTCCAGTTTTGATAATTGAGCATGTCTGTTCAAACTTACACTGTTGACAAAGACAAAAACTTTTCCTCTCCACACCTCACAAGAACAAACTTGTGCACAATGGGATACAGAAAGACACATACAGACATACAAACAGACAGTGAGAGAATATAAAAAGCCCTGTTGGAAGCTATCAAGTGATAGTGGAATGGAGACTGTGTGAATGGAGCAGTGTGATGTGACTCCGTGTGTGAGTAGGTGTGCCACACATACGTCATACACACAACACACCTCTCTTCTTTTTAGCAGTTTCAAATTGTGAGAAAGAGCGAGCTTTCAAATATCTGAAGATATTTAGACTACTGCTTTGTTCCAAACCCTAGTAATCGGTGTTGGCAGCAAGCTTCTAACCAATGGATCCTCACAAGTGACTGAATTGAAACATTGTACATGGTGAGCAACTGCAGTAATGCTCATTCGTATGGAGCCAGAAACATGTCTTTATTACATGCGAGAAAATAAATGATCTGAGAGAAAGAAAAAAAAGTTTGAGAGAAAAAGTTATCACACTGATAGTAAAAAATAATATTTGAGACTAAAAAAAGTTGAGAGAAAGTATTTTCTCATAGAACATAAAAAAATATAAATTTGAAATTTTTAAAATTATTTCTGAGAAAAAAAATCTCTCTCATAATACTTTGAAAAAAAATCTTAAATATATATTTTTTGCTATCAGTGTGAAAACATTTTCTCTAAAAAAAAAAAAAGTGTTTCTCTCAAACCACTTTTCTTTGCTCTCGATGCAATTTTTTGCTCTCATGTCAGGATTTTGCTTTAGCTGTGAAAATTGTGTCATGGGCGGGGCCACGCTCTTTTTTTCCTATTGGAACGTTCCTATTGGCCAGTCGGGTGAGCATCGTCTTGTCTTGGGAGTCGAACTGAATCATTACACCATTGTTCGGTTCACCTAGATAGATGCCTCCTCTGCCTTTAGATCGTCACTATCCTCGGGCCGGGCCGGGCCTTTGATCTAGAGACGTGCACTCCCAACGCAAAAGTGTGCGGCGCGGGACTAGATTTGATGGCTAGATTCGCGGGCGCGGGCTGTATTGCACTCACTCTGTAATGCACTCACTCTGTGTGTGAGGGTTCAGGGAGAATAAAACGATCCGTGGGACTCCAGCAAACTAGAAATATCTATGAATAAAACATATAAAAACGAATACATTGTTATTCATCTGTTGCAGAAAAGCAACAAGAACAACTAAAACAAAATACAAATGATTTACAGGCCAGAGTTTCTATTTATAACATGTCTGCAGCGTTGAGCGATGTAGCCAATCACAGACATATGTGTTGATTTCTTGAACGCAATAATGGCCAATCAGAAGCATTTACGATAGACTCCCCTCACCGCTCAAAACTGACATTTTGTTCAGTTATGAATTCTGTATGCTGGCAAATCCTCTAATTATAACAAACAAAGTGTATATATTATGAAAGATTCATTGTGCAGTCAGCTTCACTGATAATAACAGAGATGTGTGAGATCGCGATGAGCTGATGTCAGCTTTAGGGATTTTTAAGGTAGCGCACTTGGTGCGCATTCAGTCATGCCAAACCATGCACGCAGTAGCCTGCTTGATTTTATGTTATAACAGTGGTTTGTGTGTTAATGCTTTAATAACAAATTATTTATCAGGAGCATGTATGCTGATGTGTATGATGGCGACACGTAGGCTAACTTTAAAGTATGGTGCAGAACAGAGGAGGAGGAGGAGAAAGTAACATGGAAAGTAGTTGAGAGTTAGTAAGTAGTCGTCAGTTATAACGACCCACGTATTAAAATGGTCGGGTTTAAATTGGGCTCATACCGGTAATCATAGTTAATGTGTCGAGCCGGGCTCGGACACAACGTGCACGGGCTCGGGTAGGGCTTGATTTTTTGGGCCCGATCTAAGCTCTACGTTGAGCACGGACACTCCAACGTTTGGGTAAGAGGATGACACACAACTGGATGTTAGCTGGCTGAGCAAGTTCAGCATCACTGAAAATTAAACATTAAAAATAGCACTCATATTCATGAATGAGTATTATATTATTAGCTTGCTAATAGCTAGTAAAGCTAATTATTAATTAGCCATCATGCTAGGTTGCATGAGTGCTATTTTTTAATGTTTAATCTTCAGTGATGCTGAACTTGCTCAGCCAGCTACTCATCGAGTTGTGTGTGTCATCGTCTTACCCAAACATTGGAGTGTCCGTGCTCAACTAAGGCAGAGGAGGCATCTATCTAGGACGGTGAACCGAACGCGAACAATGGTGTAATGATTCAGTTCGACTCCCAATACAAGACGATGCTCACCCGACTGGCCAATAGGAACGTTCCAATAGGAAAAAAAGAACGTGGCCCTGCCCAAGACACAATTTTCACAGCTAAAGCAAAATCCTGACACGAGAGCAAAAAATTGCATCGAGAGCAAAGAAAAGTGGTTTGAGAGAAACACTTTTTTTTTTAGAGAAAATGTTTTCACACTGATTGCAAAAAATCTATATTTAAGATTTTTTTTCAAAGTATTATGAGAGATTTTTTTTTCTCAGAAATAATGTAAAAAATTTCAAATTTATATTTTTTGTTCTATGAGAAAATACTTTCTCTCAAAACTTTTTTTAGTCTCAAATATTATTTTTTGCTATTGATATGAAAACTTTTTCTCTCAAACTTTTTTTTCCTTTCTCTCAGATCATTTATTTTCTCGCATGTAATAAAGACACATTTCTGGCTCCATGTGCGAATGCACACGCCACATAATGCTCACCACATGAACTGAACAAACTCACTCAGTTAATTCAAAGAGTTTGATGTTAGCAGCTAGCTTTTTAAGTGTCTCAACCACAATGGAACCAAATGATACGGAATTAAAACACTGTAGATGTGCAGCGAATGCATTAAAACTAGAGCCCGACCGATATGGATTTTTGGGGGCCGATACCGATATTGGGGAGTAAAAAAAGCCCGATACCGATATATCGGCCGATATTATTTATGTGTATATTATAATACAGTAGCAATATTATTTATGTGTATTATAGTACAGTATACCAGTCAAAAGTTTGGACACTTTCCTATTGGTGTGTACAAACTTTTGATGGGTACTTTACACAGTAGCTATAAACAGAATAAATATATTTTATAAACACGTTTTGCAATGATCACTCAAATGTGGTAATCAAACACTTGTGTGACACAGATATGTAATGGAGGCAGGGGGAATGATAGAATGAGAATTATACAGCTGAGCTGTAACCAAACTAGTTTGCATTGCATGTTATATTATATTATATTCTAAATACTGTTGCATAATCTTCACTAACGACTTTGTCTTTTAATTTAGTCATAACTTGTATCAATAAATATATAAAAAGTGTCACTGACAAAACCTTATTATCTTCTATTTTTACTCTTAATTCCTCTAATCTCTACCAGTGGAGGAAGAACTCAGATCTTTTTTACTAAAGTAAAATTAATAATATCATAATGAAAACGTTTTTGTACAGTACTTTTATACTATTTTAAATAATTAGTAACCAAAATGTACTAAACGTGAAACTAGGCTACTCTTAATGCAAAATGGCCCTATATAAAGTGTTATAATTATATACATTTTTGGAATATTGCTTGATGTTGTAACGTAGCGTTATAGGCAGAATGAGCTTTTAACACTGTCTACACCGGACGCGGCCGTTACTGCTCGCGTCGCAACAGCTGTTTACCCTAGACCAAGCAGAATCAGTTTACTGTCGGAGATCGCTCGCGCCACGCATTTTAATCAATGTTTCATCAACCAATTGCCTTAATAAATAAGTAGGCCTAAATATAGCAGACAATATAATCAGGACTTCTCAGCTGCGCGCTTGCAATAGTCACAAGCTCACACAATACGTGACAGAGGCTTATAGCAGAGAAATCAATTCTGTGAATTACACTGCGCAAATCACAAGTAGGCTACTACCCACCGGATGAAGAAGGGTTGGCTCTCAGTCTCCACAGGCTACATAAAATATTCATTTTATTTTATTTTATTTTATTTTTCGTGTTCGCATTTATGAGGAAAAAACAATGTTACAGACGCGACAGTTCAGCACTACGGACGTGAGCGCTCTGAAAGCGGCACTAAAATATGCTTTGAAACTTTCACATAGACATCAAACAGAAAGCACAAAACCGTTCGTTTCAAAGTGAATTTCGTTTTGTATTAATTGTATCTTAATTTTAATCAATGTTTCATCAACCATTTGGCTGGATTTATTTTATAAGAAGTAAATATAGCAGACGATAGATAATCTCGACACGGAGGCGCCTGCGGGTGAACTGGAGCTCGTCTGAGTCGTCTCATGAACCGAAACTCAGCGTATAGACCTGAGAATTGAAATATATCTATATTGAAATGTCTACTTTTAAACA